TTAATCCTAGTATTCAACTTTTCAGCGATAGATTAGAAAACTGTATAGGGGAATACGTAGTCCGTTTTGACTCATTCAAATTTACATTTCTCAATTAAACTGAGTCATTACAGCTTCAGTGAAGAGTCTCTTTTCGGCGAATACATTTTCATAGCTGTACAATCGCAGATATATATGGTTGTTTTGAACGTGTGTGTACATTATATTTGTCAAACGAAAATACAATTAGTAAGTTCAGATGAATCGCATGTTGATATAAGAGGGTAGTAACAGAAGTGATGAGTTGTCACAGATGATTGTTAAAGAAGAGTAACGTAATAACGTGAATAATTTGATGAAAGAGTTGTGCTCACGGTGTACATAGAAACAAAATAACATACGGAATTACGCAAGGGTTTTAAGTAGTTAGAAAAATAAGCATACAAACAAAAGTTAGGTGAAATCAACGGATTTGTTCCCATGAGAATAGAAGTGGCTGAATAATTTTCTTTCGTAAGCATACTTCTGGTTCTTCCAACTGAATGGCTAGGGCTTCTGCAATGTAAAGAAGACGGAAACGTATTGTCTTTCGCAGACTTTTCTTCACTTTGTAGATTACTTTGAAGAAGGCGTTTGTTGAGGTAGAATGATCAGCGGTGATGAGATATTCGAATATTGTGCTCCTTATATGGCCACTACTTCCTCATTGCAGCCACGCTGGAAAGTGTTCTTTCATCCTTTTTGACAGGATGCACGTTGAACGATCAATTTACCTGGCTGCACAGCAACAGGTGAACTGTTATATACACATAGAAGTGGTCAGGTATGGGATCTTGTCCTTTGGGCCTCTGCAAGATCAGCAAGTGACTGGAGAACAATACACTCAATGCTGCCGCAAAGAAAGCTCTTCTTAAAGAAGCGGAAATTCTCCTCCTAAGGACATCACTGAATAGGTCACCTTTGAAGTCGAGGTTCATATAAAGTATATTTTTGGCACGGATGGCGTCTCTTGCTTTTAGATTTTCTGTTTGATGTTTTTGTCTATAAATCTTGGTGGATAACCGCTTTGTATGAAGGTTTCTTTCAGGAGGTGTAGTTCTTCTTCTAGGGTGTTAGAGCTGCAGATGAGTCAGAAGCGAGTGGCAAGAGATCTAATTAGGTTTCTTTTTCGGCTGATTGGTACACAGCTGTAGAAGCTTGTCAGTTGGCCGTTCCATGTGGGTTTCCTATGGATGGACCTAGCTAAAGTTTGGTCAGCTCTCCTTGTAAGTTCAACATCAAGAAAAGGGATTTTAGATTCGTTTTCAATTTCAAAAGTGAGCTTTGTAGCTGAATAGCATTTGTTGAATATTTGTAGTAACTGATTGAGACCGTGACCGTCATCACAGATAATGAAGATTTCGTCCACATATCTAACATACAATTGGAAATTGTCAATAGCTCATTTAAGTGGACCGTTCTCGAGGCTTGCCATGAAGCAGTCTGCTAGTAATGGGCCCAGTGGAGATCTCATTGCGATCCCATCTTGTTGTTTGACAAATTTAATGTACACACACATATAAAACAATCATATAATATTTGCGATTGTACAGCTTTGAAAATGAATTCACCGAAAAGAGACTCTTCACTGAACTACTGGTCTCCTTTTGTAAAAAATTATATTTGTAATATCTCAGCGATATTGAAATGAGTAATTCCAACGTTTCGTTCGGCAATCTGGTCCGAACTTCTTCAGGGAAATTAATCAAAATTAACATAACAGAGGTTTTATATATAAAAGGCACATCTTTTGTTTTTAAAAACTTTGTCCAATCATGATTCATAAACACAAGTATTAACAAGTATAATAAACAAAATTGTATGAGCTGTGATCAAAATTTGACCTCGGACTTACAAATATTGGTCTACCTTTGTTAAACACTTTAAACAGAGTGTGCATGCGTGTGTGTGTAAACAGTTGTAAAACATTTCTTAACGTCTCCATAGGAAGATATAGACAGTCAGGAATTTGACCAAGTATTATTAATTAGTGATACATATCCATTTTTATTTATTAATCAGGATTTCCTATGCATCAGCTAACATCAAACCTTCATGTCCGTTCAAACTGCTAGTATCTAGAATTTTATGATTAGACGTATTTTCAAAATTATGGTGTTTAGGATTAGAGTTTAGTTTAAGCACCCTGTCGAACTTATTGCATTGTCTTCTTTCTGAATATTGAGCTGCTTTATTCGACCTACTGGAGTTGTCAGCTGACTCGACAGCTACGGATTTAGGATGTGCATTTTGTTTCAGACAACGGAAACTGAAAACACGATGATTGTGCCAAATACATAGTTTCTTTGTTAATTTAATTCGATGGCAAAATAATTCAAATGAACTGTCGACAAGATTTGACCGAATAGTTCTAAAATATTTGGGCGCCGAGTGAGAAGTAGACATTTGTAAAAAATTATATTTGTAATATCTCAGCGATATTGAAATGAGTAATTCCAACGTTAATACTTGTGTTTATGAATCATGATTGGACAAAGTTTTTAAAAACAAAAGATGTGCCTTTTATATATAAAACCTCTGTTATGTTAATTTTGATTAATTTCCCTGAAGAAGTTCGGACCAGATTGCCGAACGAAACGTTGGAATTACTCATTTCAATATCGCTGAGATATTACAAATATAATTTTTTACAAATGTCTACTTCTCACTCGGCGCCCAAATATTTTAGAACTATTCGGTCAAATCTTGACGACAGTTCATTTGAATACTGGTCTTCTGTCTATTAATGTTCGAGCGGGGATTTTTCATGAATTACAACTATGACCATTTTTCAATTCCTAAGCTTTGTTGTTCAACGTAAAAGCCTTCAGAAACATCAAGTTTTACTCATGTTCTAAGCATCTTATATTATCTGTATCTTATAGCTTACTAAAAAGATACTTTTTATTAATACGATTATGTATTCGTGTGGTATAAAAACTCAAAGTGATTTATCAAGCAAACTAAATAATCTATTTCAAGGTCGATGCTAACAAAACGTGTAAAAACGCATAATTTAGAGACATTGAGTTATTGATTTTTATATTTAAAAAGTAGAAAATAAGTACACTAATTACAGACAAGGTCAACTAGCAGTGCATCAGAACGACAAAAAGAACAATATCTTTAGCACTACACATTTTTGAACTCTCCTAGGTTTTCAGTAGTTGATAACATGAATACTAAGAATGTAAGAATACCGGTCAACAAAGAAGTCACTTAATAAAGCTACTGAAGTATTAAGCTGAAATAATTCATAACGTTTTACCTATAAAAGCATCGGTGGTTCAGGGTTCGATTCCCGGCTATGGCAATCCTAAACCTCGATAAACTGGTAGTAAGCCCAGTAAAGAGGGAAGGTTGGACAGGAAGCTAACAATCTAATTCTGTAGAAGAAATTAAGACCACTGCTACTGAAACTTCAAAGTAGCCGCCCTGAAGCCCTGTGTTCTACTCGAAACCCAAGAGAATTAAACAACACCTAGAAAAACCTTCATTTATCCACCCGCAAATCGAACTTTTTCACTGAGCTAAGCAAAGGCCTGTCGGCATATTGTTTCACCCGTCGTTTCAGAGTATTATTCCATAAAGAAGAAGAAGCCATTGGTTGGACGTATTCTTACTAAGCGTCAAAATCATTTTATAGGGATCTAGGCAGCTAAAGTTCTCAGTCAAAGAAAAAATTGTTCTTTTCGATGCCTAATCACAACAAATTTTAAAGATAAAGCTTTTTTTCGAGAAAATTCTACTGATAGATAACCTTGTCACAGTTAATCGGCAAACTACGCGGAATAACACATCAGTGCATTGATACTGGTCTGAAACTACTTTGAGAAAAAGAAAGCGCAACTGTCTCTATATTACTAATCCTACGCACGTGGGATTTATATAAGTTTCATACTTTTATAGACTGGAATTCACATCACCATGTAAAAAAGTTGCGGATTTTTAAATTGCAGCATTCCCCCCACAGCTGAACTGTCACCTAATAGCAGATTGAATGCAAGGCAATTACGGGAATCAGACCGATACAAAGAGGCTAGACGGCTAGTATTTATTTTGAAATATCATGTGAAAGGCAATAATAAAACACTGAGTTAGAAAAATTTAATTTTAGATTTTCCCATCTATTGATTGGACCGAAGTGCTCGGTCTCAGGTTGACACGTCGGCTTCTTGTGCAGATGCTTCGATGTTTTCTGGGCATCCTGGATTCCACTGCTAGTCACCATTCACAAATTAAATTCTAATTAAATGCCCAGACATCGTCTAGACATCTGCACAAGAAGGCGAAATGTCAACCTGAGACCTAGCACTTCGGTCCAATCAGTCGACGGGAAAATCTCAAATTCAATTAAATTAATATGACCCGTTGCACTAGAGGTGGCTCTCGTGGATAATGCTTTGGCGTTTGAAACTATGTGCGCTGGGTTCAAGCCTCGGTGGGAACATCATCACTCATTGGGAAATGCAGGTACATCCAGTGACGAGTCCCAAATAGGACGAAATGCGCATCCTGGATTCCACTGCTAGTCACCATTCACAAATTAAATTCTAAGTTAGGAAAAGTTGAAATGTTTCTCATTATATAAAATGACATTTACCGGAAATTATTTTTGTAGGCAACTAATTATCATAAATTTATCTGGTTCGTTTTTTCTAGGGATGACAGTCACCTAGACTAGGCTTTTTTCACGTATCAGTCTATGAGTTCCAATTATTATGTCTGGGTTTATGATACCAGATAATTACGCAGACTGTAATAAGCAAGATGGGGGGATTTAAAGATTTGGCCCGATACCTAAAGTCAATTACTCGACCCAGTGAGACCCAGTTTAATCTACGACATTTTGAACAGTATTCTTGAAAGTGAAGAACACGGTATATTATATGAGTTATACTGCATTATACAAACATGAGTTTAGTAGCACAATCAATACAGAATCTGATATAAGCGGATATCAGTTTAACAAATATACTTACCATAGAATCAATTCTCTCTTTTCGATTCAGGGGTTGTTTATCCTTCTCTTCATTAGGAGGCATAATTGGTTTCCATGATGCTGATAAAGTTTTCCCTCCTCTCTTAATAGCAGAAGAAAAAAAAAAGAAAGTAAATGAAACATCCGATTAAACAAAAAAGGAAAAAGAAATACTCATCTGCGTTTGATAAATTCAAACAAAGCCTATTGACATCATACCGAGATGACTACAGCATACTTGACCTATTATAATAATCAAGATTTTCAAAGGTAAAACTTGTCTGAAATCAAATGTTTAGTGTAAATGTCATAATGATGGAATTTTGTCTTGTATTAATTAGATAATCAAGTGTTTCAGATAATATTCAAAAAAACGAATTGACATCTACATATTGTTCACCTGACATAATGCTCTCTAAATAGCAGCACTTGTAGAAATGTAAAACTGCAGAACTTATAGAGGATCATATACTTTATATGATAAAATTAAAAAATGAAAGCTTAATTTATCCGCCTTTAAATGTCAAAACATTATAGCTATTTTAAACATTCATAAAGATTAGAAGTTAATTGGTGGATGGTGATTAGCAGTGGAATGTGGGATGCGCATTTCGTCCTATTTGGGACTCGTCATCTGGATGTTAGCACTAAGTCATGAGTCTCAGTGGGGAGAACACCACTCACTGGTGAGTGCAGGTACATGCGGATGATAAGTCCCAAATGGGACGAAATGAGCACTCTAGATTCCATTGTTAGTTACCATTCACCGAATTCAAGAAAACTGTTTACTTTTCAGATAGTATCTATAACAATATCTAACGGATTTTAAGTAATTCTGAACTTTCTCTACTGGGTGTTCTAAGTTAGTTAAATCTTACCCACCGATGGTAGTTGTTCTTTCATAATAAATTTGAGCAACTCCGTCCCTTGATATAATTGCTAGTTTTTCCTTCACACTTATTTTCATAATAACTGCGCAAATATAACCACATGTTTAAATCCACATGATTATAGTGTTTAAATATGTCTACTTTTTAATTGTCGCACTATTTATTTTGCGAGATTATAACACTGGTAAATTATATGACTTCGTCCTATGGCTAGTCACTAGAGAGCATCAGATTGACTTTCAAGAGTTAATTTCCAGAGAAATTTGGTTAGTTTCACGCTTGATTACGAAATGACATCAATTAGAGAACCATTAAAAACCAAGGAGTACTGGACAGCCACTTCATCCCAGTTTGAGACTCTTTATCTGAAAGCACCCACAAGGAGTCGAATCTGGGACCTTCCGGTTACAGGGAAAGTTCGTAGACCTTTCAGTGAATGGGACCCGAGTCAGTAGCCCATGGATTCCAGATTCTACTTGTTCGCAATTTTATCACGAGCTTGCTTTGTAACCAGAAGATACTGGGTTAGGACTCGTGGGGGTGCGTACTACAGATAAGTACCAAACTAGGATGAAATCCCCGTCCAGTAGCCCCCTAGTCTTCAAACTTGAAACAAATCCAATCCATACAAGCTATGTCTTGAGTAAATGATTCACCCTTTTTGATACATTGCTTATCAGTGGTGTAACTATATTTACACTTAGCTGAGAGAGCCGAAGCAATTCAAACAACCTGAATTCGTATTGTCTACCTATATGGTTTGTGTTAGTTTCGAGAGCCGTTGGTTCAGAATTAAGTGGAAAGTAAGAACTTGTACACTAATTCAGCATTCCAATGTAAAAGTTTCTTATTTATTGTTTACTTTTACTATAATGAATTCTCCCAATTCAGACAGCAGAAGCGATTAGCATACAAATACACAAGTTATATACTTCATACTCTTTTATATCTCCAAGCGAGCACTACTGGCTGATAAAGGGCTATACAACTATTCATCTCAGGCAATCAGTGGTATATAGTTTTGTGCAAATTCGCTTGCTTCCTTGATCACCATTTATGGTGTCATGTAGATCATCTACTGTGACCTGAACACTTTGGTTTCCAAAGGAAACTGTAGTGAAGATTTCACCTCTCGAAATATGTACATGGCGAATTTCTGACCAGTTTCATTTCCTTTTAATATATGTTTATTATTCCTTTGGGTCGCGAGTGGAACATAGGGCTTCAACAGCACATCTCAATTTCACCCTGTTCTCTGCAGTCGTCTTTAGTCGGCCACATGACTGCCCATAGTTTGTCATCTTCTCCTCGCCACACAATCTCCATTTCACCCCATTACCCGCAATTTCCTCGTCGTTTCCGACTTGGGTTTTACGCGAGCAATGGCCTGACGTCTGATTTCATTCAACGGCCTCCTCAACTTATGCCCGATCCATCTCCATTTTCTCCTACATGTTTTTTGAGTAATCGGCTCTTGGTTGGTTTGTACACAGCCAGAGTTTCTTGTTGTTTGTTCTTTTTCGCCGGCTGGCTATTTCACCTTCAGTATGGAACCAGCAAAGCGGACAGCTGTTGATAAAAGTCTATGGTAACTTGTTGGAAATCCTTTATGTAACGTGCAGCACAAGTTTCTGACCCATATAGGGGAAATGACTGACTTCACATTTGTGCTGAAAATCCTAATCTTGTTCTTTATGGTGAAGTGGAGTGCAGAAGGTTTTCAAACCGGTTTCAGGTTGATGAAGGTGAATCTTGCCTTTCCGATTCTGGCTAGCCCTGACATCTTCATCCGTTTCGACTATCTGTGGTTGAAACGATGCTTCCCAGATAAGTGAAGAAGCGACCTCCGACAAATCTTTCTCGTTGATTGTGAATAGTGCTGATTGTTGTTGGTTGGTTATGTTCATCACATCCGTCTCGAACTTCCCTATGTTCAACTGAATTCGTGTCTTTGCTGCCTGCCTCTGCAGCCAGTTTTTTCGTCTTCGCCTGCAAGTCTTCGAGTCTGACTAACCAATTTGCAAACTGTTAATAATTTATCTAAGTAGACAGACAGAAATCGAGTGGTCTGAACTGATTCGGCTCTCTCAGATAGGTAGCATCAGATGTTTCGCTTTTGAAGTCTGTCCCAAATGAGCGAAACGTCAGTCTGGTATTTAGATGACTTTAATCTGGCCAGCAAGCACTACTGTTCGATATGAGTACTATGCAACTACTAGCAGCAATCAATCATTTCTGTATAATTTTTTCCACTTGTCTATCTTCCGGTTTTGAGGAAAATGGTTGTATACGCTGGACTTCCTCCATTTTTATTAATTAGTACATATTGTGTGTCAACCAAAAAGAATTAGTTTTACGTTATTATGACCGCTTCTTTTAATGTAGTATACCTAAACTACCAGGATACTTTGCTACTTGACTTCCTGGAGATTATTCTTTTCGCAACTAATCTACTACAGTTAAACTGACTTTTCAGTATCATTATACCCACAGAAACCTCGCCTAGTTTACCAGCTTGCTAGTTTTCTAGCCGGTTCCAAACTCCAGGTAAAGAGGGAGGGTTGGTCTAGGGGATAGTGACCCTACAACACAAAACCAATCAATATGCTACGGAAACTATAACGCAAAATAAAAATATTAAAAATACAAAAAATGTAAATAACAAGCTTATTCCTCGCTCATGTGGGAGAGGCAAAATGATACACCGTGCTGGTGAAAGCCAGCTTTCGCGAAGCCAGCCGGCCAACTGATGTGTCTTCTCTCGATGAAAAGAAGAATAAGAATTAGGATGAGAAATATACGTACAATATACGAAGCCGGCTTGGAATGCTGCCCAACTAGATAAAGAAATTAAAAGGTATGGAAAAGAAGTGCTGGGAATCTGCGAGAGCAGATGGAATGGATGAGGACTGTCAAAACTGTCAAGTGGGAAGCGATGAGTGGATCGCCCAAGGGTGGAATGGGGGAGATTGTGCGAGCATGAGATCACAGATTACGTGCGATCGTGGACTCAACTGAAGAGGACCACAGAGAATAGAACGAAGTGGAGACGTGCTGTTGAAGCCGTATGTTCCACTCAGAACCCAAGAGAATGATAATGACACCCTCAGGATCAAAGAGAAGAAACAATTGGGTTATATATATATATTCATGAACACTTGTAAAACGAAAACGAAGTCTATTTTCATCCAATGCTACTCACCTTCAACGTATGTGATTTTTTGATGCTGTAGAAGAGGAATTAAATCTTTCAAAAGAAATTTTAATCCAAAATGGATATCCACCGATACCCAATAAATTTATTGGCAAGAACGTCAACTCAAAAACTCAGAGAAATCAGACATTGTTCATGTCAAAAATGAAGCTTTACATGAATCTTAATCTCAGGGATAAATTAATCTGTGATGACTTTAAGGGAAGAATTTCAATGTCTATATAAGGATAGAACTTGGTTACTGTGGTTAGGTATAATTCCACTATACAGAAAATATTTTTTCTGAAGTCTCACAGTGCGATACAGTAATATTTCAACATCATTTAGAACACTACTCTCAGCACTGAGAAGAGTTCAGTTCTCCAGTCATCCACTGTTTTGCAGAAGCCAAAAAGATAAGATCTCTTATATGACCACTTCATGGTATATTATTGATATAATAATAAAACTTAGACAGTGTGGTAGAGTATAACTCCATTATGGATAAAATTTTATTTTGATAAAATCACACAGTGTTTGTTATATAGTAATATTTACTGATGACCACGTTTCGAGCACAAACTATTGCTCATAATCATATCAAGGCCTTGATATGATTACACCGTTACACTTTACGGTGTATATAATAGTTCACTTGCTCCTATGAAGCCAGACATGTTGGTCGCTCATCTTGTATTCAGTCTAAAAGGGTTCGAAAATACTATCTCACATGGTTACAGAAAGGCAGTAATAGCTCAATAAGGAGTTCGACAACTGAAAACCTTGTCAACACAGGGAATTTCATCTCAACAAACGCCTGCTTCAAAGTGATTTACAAGGTAAAAAGCAGCCCCTCTTACTTTGATGGAGCTCTAGTCATCCAGACAGAGAAACTAGAGCTCCACAGAAAAAAGGGAGTTCTTCAACCACTTCTGCTGTTGCTTCTAACCAATTTTTTTAATTAACAGAAACATGTTATAATCACGAAATTACCTCCCTCATTTCTGATACAATCTACTA